CAGCGCACCAATGGCAGATGAGCTCCTCCTCCAACTTTACAAAGCTTGGACGCACCTGACGCAAAGGCCCTATTGGGTCATCGCCTCGGACGCCGCGTTTCCTCCCATACTTTACAAAGTTTCAGCCATCTCCCAACGCGTCGACCTTTTGGGTCAGCGCACCGGTGGCAGATGAGCTCCTCCTCCAACTTTACAAAGTTTGGACGCACCTGACGCGAAGGCCCTATTGAGTCATCGCCTCGGACGCTGCGTTTCCTCCCATACTTTACAAAGTTTCAGCCATCTCCCAACGCGTCGACCTTTTGGGTCAGCTCACCGGTGGCAGTTGAGCTCCTCCTCCAACTTTACAAAGCTTGGACGCACCTGACGCGAAGGCCCTATTGGGTCATCGCCTCGGACGCTGCGTTTTCATACTTTACAAAGTTTCAGCCATCTCCCAACGCGTCGACCTTTTGGGTCAGCGCACCGGTGGCAGCTGAGCTCCTCCTCCAACTTTACAAAGCTTGGACGCACCTGACGCGAAGGCTCTATTGGTTCATCACCTCGAACACTACGTTTCCTCCCATGCTTTACAAAGTTTCAGCCATTTCCCAACGCGTCGACCTTTTGGGTCAGCGCACCAATGACAGATGAGCTCCTCCTCCAACTTTACAAAGCTTGGACGCACCTGACGCAAAGGCCCTATTGGGTCATCGCCTCGGACGCCGCGTTTCCTCCCATGCTTTACAAAGTTTCAGCCATCTCCCAACGTGTTGACCTTTTGGGTCAGGGCACCGGTGGCAGATGAGCTCCTCCTTCAACTTTACAAAGCTTAGACGCACCTGACGCGAAGGCCCTTTTGGGACATCGCCTCGGACGCTGCGTTCCCTCCTATGCTTTACAAAGTTTCAGCCATCTCCCAACACGTCGGTCTGTGGGGTCAGCGTACCATATTTGCAAAGCTTCGGTGCACCTTACGCAACGTCCCATGCTGGTTGACCGCCTCGAATGTTACGCACAATAACGAAACTTTGGCACATCTGCCTATTATCATAACCTCGATTGCTGCAACGGATCAAACCCCAAAACTCCCATGATTTGCGGTTCGGTTAGGAAAGCAAGTCCACGCATGATATAAATATTCATCCCCGGACTTGGGGGACCACTGTTACGCTCCGATTATACATGCCTCGGATACCGAAGTGTCATCTCACCTCCGAGCCGAGATCAAGTGGACCCCCCGCAGCACCACTTATTCCGACCTGAAAACGACCCTTCCGAAGCTTCTCCGAAGTTTTATAGCGATTCCTACTACTGATCTGCTGAAACATCTCACCTCCAAGGTCGAGATCAAGTGGACCCCCGTTAGAAGATCCGCCGCCAATTTGAGATTTGTCCTACACCTAAGGCTTAAATTGATTTGACGTCTCCGTGAGGCTAGTTGATGTGACTTATCAACTTTATGTCAATTCAACTTAGAGGAAACAAACTGTCCATCCACTCTACAAACGCGGCTGATTGACGCCTATGAGCAGACGCTTCATACCGTCAGATGTATACACGCGTTCCACATCCAACGATTCATACCACCTATAAATACCCAAGGTTTGGCAAGAGGCAAAGGTAATGAAACTCTTAATACACAGCACTCCATAACAAGTTTATATATTTTCTCCTCCCCCTTTATTGATTGATTTGTATAGCCCCTGGGTACTGTTTCGATCACCCAAACTTGACTTGACCGTCGGAGTGTATGCAGCCGCCAGCACTCTCGTTGGTTCCGGCCATATGCGCCTGACTATTTGTTGATTGTGCACAGGGAGGAATACGTGGAGTAGCTTTCAGTTGGCCACGTGGAAGGACCAATTTTCGAGGTCAACATCTGCCATGAACTATAATTTTTAGACAAAATCACGATAATATCTACATCAAAATGCCATTTAATTGTAGACTTGAGCGAGAAATAAAATTTCCAAGAAAACATGCAAAGAGGGACAGTGGCAATAAAAAACAAAAGAATTTATTTGAGTCCTACTAGAAAAAAGGAAAATACTGTGTGTACAGTGTTGTACACGTACAACACTCTCAAAATCGTGGGACTGCAATTATTTTAATCGTGAATCCCACATCTTGTATGTAAGAGAACTGTTAATCATAATATCAAAATTGTTACACTTGTAGCAAGATTTCGAAAAAAAAGAGTAAGCCTGTTTCTTGACCTTTATCCCTTCTAAAGGGCGTCTCACGATCATGATTTGACAACTAATAATTCAGAACTGTAAACTGTCTATCTGATTTTAACTCAATTTTTGTCCATAGTGATAATTGGAAAATAGTAGCAATGATATTTCTAATTACATTAATCATTGCTTTGAGTCTTCCAATAAAGTAAAGTATTTGTGTTAAATCCACTCGTTTTTCAATGGGTTAATTAGAACGGGTGATGCCTCCCATTAATTGAAGAATTATAATCCATACATACCCTTTTTTACCTTATTAAATTTCATTTTTCTCTTTTCTATTTTCAATTACACAATTTTCAATAAAATAATATTAAACATAAATTAAAAAAAATTTATTCTTTTTCAACTATTCATTTTTAAAAAAAATGCTATTCTATCTATTTTTATTTCAAGAAAATGGGGGCCAAACGGGCCCATATAGTTGAAGACTTAAAATCATAGATGTTTATACATGAGAAATTTATAAAAATTAAAAAAATTATATTAGATATTGTTAACATTTGAACTTGGTTTAACCATATCCAGCCAACTTAACTAGTATTAAAGATGAGATTATTTAACTAAAATAGGAAAATGAGATAATTGCTGTGACTTTTGCCTTTAATTAGCTAAAGTACAAAAAGCGGAAAGATTGTAGATTTCATGATCCATACGATGGACCATATGTTGTTTTTTCCCTACTATATAAAAAGGAGAATATGAAATTATTGTAGAAAGCAACAGTGACTTATGTTATTTTATCTCACTGCAGCAATTTAAATTATTTTTTTAAAGTGTGGGAGCAAAAACGACGCCGTTTGTCTTACTATATATTTTATTATATAGTTTATCTCCAAATTTACTGCAATACGCAACTTTTCATACTTCTCACAAAGTCTCATCTCTTCACTATGTGTTCAATAAAAAATATTAGTTATAAGTAAAAAGTTTGCTTCAAGTTTTTTAAGTGTAATAAAAAAAATATCATTGTAGTTGGCTATTATATGTAAAAATATATTGGCTTAAAAAAAAAAAAATTCTCTCTAACTCTCCGTGCATGCATGAATTTGTCTTCATGCACGAAGACCAATAGTGACTTATGTAATTTTGTCTCACTGTAGCAATTTAATTTTTTTTTTCAAGTGGGGGTGCAAAAACGATGCCGTTTGTCTTACTATATATTTTATTATACAGTTTACCTCCAAATTTACTACAACACACAATTTTTCATACTTCCCACCAGGTCTCATCTCTTCACTTTATGCTCAATAAAAAAATATTAGTTATTAGTAAAACATTTGCTTCATGTTTTTTAAGTGTAATAAAAAAAATTAAAAAATTATCATTATAGTTAGTTATTATATGTAAAAATATATTAGGTTAAAAAAAAATATTCTCTCTAACCCTCCGTGCATGTAGTCTCCATGCACAGAGACAAAACGGAGACTGTCTCCCTTATGTTAATTTTTTATTTTTTATTTTTATAGATAACTTTCTTTTTGTACTTTAAAATTCTTTTCTCTTCATAATAAAACTTAATTTTTCAATTTTAACTAAATAATATTTATATATTCTTTATTTAATTTTCATAACTTTCTTTTATTTTATTTTATTTTTATTATATTTTTTTTAAAATTGTTTTAAAATTTATTTTTTCGATTTAAAATACTTTTTTATTCTTTTCGTTTAAAAAGCAATTTTTCAATTTTAATTAAATAATAATTATTTTTACTTTTAATTATTTTGATTTAATTTAAAAACTTTATAATAACTTTTTTTGGTTTCTTTTTATTTTTGCCTGTCTACTATATAATAATAATAATAATAATAATAATAATAATAATAATAATAATAATAATAAAAAAAGAAAAAAATTTAAAAGGACCATGTGAGAGAGAGAAAGAAAAGAGGAGAGAGAAATAAACTTTATTGATTCTAGTTTCAATTTGTTGGCCACGTGTAGGAGAGATATTGCTTGTTGAGTGGTAAAATTGGTTGACAAGTTATTTTATTTCAAAGAGTTCGTTTCCCAGTTTTGTCCATACTTCTATCCTACTACTACACGTTTCTCCAACTATACACCCACTCTATTGGACTAGATCATGTGGGATTATTTATAGATGTATATCAAAAGAAGACATATGCATAAGCACACGGTTGTAGAGAAATAAGAGTGTTGAAATCAGGTAAATTTCAGACTTCATATTTTATGCAGTGTAAAAGGAATACAATTTTTGTTTCAATTTAAATTTCTTTTTAATTATTTTCTCTTCATAATAAAACTTAATTTTTCAATTTTAACTAAATAATATTTATATATTCTTTATTTAATTTTTGTAACTTTCTTTTATTTTATTTTTATTAATTTTTTTGAAATTGTTTTAAAATTTCTTTTTTTTCATATTATAAATATTTTTGTCAATTTAAAATTCTTTTTAATTCTTTTCGTTTAAAATAAATAAAACTGTATAAAAAGGAGAATGGAAAGTTACTGTAGAAATCAACAGTGACTTATTTTATTTTGTCTCATTGTAGCATTTATTTTTAAGTGGGGGAGTTAAAACGACGTTGTTTGTCTTCAGGGGCGGACCCAAAGATTTCGGACTGTGGGGTCAAAAATGAAATTTTTTTCGAACAACGTATCATTAACAAAAATAAATTCATATGCTACTACAATGTAGCTTACGCGTTTTCATACTTTGAAAACGTTGTATAATTACATCATTATCAATATCGTCAAATATATCGCTCTCAATATATGCAACCAAACTATCACTTAACCATTGATCTCCCATTCGATTACGTAGTCGATTCTTGACAATCTTCATTGCAGAAAATACTCTTTCTACCGTAGTAGGTGCAACTGGAAGAATTAACGCCAATGTTACAAGCCTGTAAAATAATATACGTCTGAATTTGCTCTTTACGTGCTAAGATCTTTATTGGTTTAAAATCTTTGGGATAATACTCACACAATTGAATTAACTTATCCTTGTTGAAAGCAAAGAATGAATTATTCAGACACAAGCATGCAACACAAAGGAGTAAGTCACTATTTACCTCGGAGAAACAATCATTCAACTCTTGAATTTGCATATCGATAATAGCATAAAAGAAATCCACACGAAAATGATTTAGATTTGTAATTTCTTGAGTGTTACGCCATGAATGGCCTAGAGGTATAAACATATCGTCCATATTGGGAACATCAATATTGTACCTTTCGCAAAAGCAGAAAATTTTTCTTAAAAATGATTCCCATTCATTGTTCCTCATTGCTTGAAGTCGTTCTTTACTTATTTTCACTAATTTCATAGCGTTGACAATATATTGTTCTCTCCTTTGTAATGATTTTGACAATTCATCTGAAATACCCAATACCTTTTTCATGAGATGCAAACTGAATACAAAATCAAATGTTAACATAGATCCCAACAAAATACGTGCTTCCCCTCGCTTTCCACAACTAGTATCATCAGTGGCAATCATCTCAACGACATCAACTGTAGCAGAAAACATGATAATCAAGTTAAGTAAAGAATTATAGTGAGAGCCCCAACGAGTATCATCAGGTCGCTTAAGAGTTGTTTCTTGATTAAGGCCCTTTCCACTTGAGATTTCACCAAGATTTAACGATTCAACAACTTCAAGCCTCTTCTTCTCTCGAAGAAGATCACATCGCTTAGCCAATCCACCAACAATATTTACCAATTTATTCACTAAAGTAAAGAATGTTTCAATTTCTGCATACTTGCTTGCCACAGCTGCAAGAGCTAGTTGTAGCCGATGAGCAAAACAGTGTATATAAAAAGCACTTGGATTCTCTTTCAAAATAAGTGCTTTAAGATCATTGTACTCACCTCGCATGTTGCTGGCCCCGTCATAACCTTGACCTCTTAAACTAGATATACTTAAGTTAAATCGAGAGAATAAGTGATCAATAGAATCCTTAAGTGAGAGAGCTGTGGTACTAGAGACATGTTCTACTCCAATAAAACGTTCTGTTAGTTGTCCTTTCTGATTCACATAGCGTAGAACATTTGCTACTTCACTGATACATCACGAGATTCATCAACAAGAATAGAAAATAACCTATCACCAATAGCACTCACAATGTCCTTTTAAATTTTAGGTGATGTTAATTGAAGGTTTTAAAGAACATTACTCAAACAAACATCCTTAATCTCTTTATTATGATCACATAACCACTGCAAAAATTCAAGAAAATTTCCTTAATTTCTTGAATTTTCTAATTCATCATGTCCACGAAACGAAAGCCCTTGTCGTAGAAGCAATCGGACACAATCAATTGACGCATTCAAACGAATTCGATACTCATCTTTTGTTTTTTTCAACTTTTTAAAGAGAACACAATCAATATTTTGTTTCTGATTCACAAAAGCCTCATACTTAATCTGAGCTCGATTGTGTGCACTACCACTTTTCCCGACATGAATTTGAAGCCTTTATTTCTTTTTCCAATTTGAGAATCCTCCATCAATAAAAGAATCACCACCACCATGTTCTTCACTATTTGGTTTGAAAAGATAATAATAAAAACAAAATATGGTATCTTTTGCTATACTGTATTCCAACAAATCAGGAAAGTCATTAAACCACGAAGTTTTAAATCGTCTTAACGGCGAATCTCCTAATTCTTTCTGTGGACACAAGTGATTTTGAGGCTGACATGGACCCTTTTGTACATATGCTCTTCAGATTTAATCCTGAACAATTCTTTGAATTCCGGTATTTGATTCTTCTTGGCCATCTTGTTTTTTTTTGAACACTCGTTTCAGAATTAATTTGCTCTCCGCTTGAACATTCGAATTTTCATTTAAAATATTTCTCCATGACTGTTAAAAACAATAAATTCAACACAGAATCACATATCAATAAATAAATAACATATATCAGTTTTCATCAAAACATAACACTAAATTGATAATAAACAACAATTAATTGAATTCCATAAACAATTCTAAATCCCCAAGTTTGAGAAAGCCAGCCATTACTTACTTGGAATTGGAATTGGAATTGAGGTCTAACTTCTAAATTTCAGCCTTCCAGCCTCCAAGAACTTCCAGTAGCACTGTAGCAATGAGCTACTGAGCTCAGTAGATAGTAGTCACTACAGTGAAAAATTTTAATTTGGAACTATAATTAATAATTTAAATGATTTTTCCCAAACTGTAAAAAATCAATTCCATACCATACTTGATACTTCTATTATTTCATTGTTCATACAATCATACGATTCACACCAAATCAGTGAGTGTGAGTCAGTGACAGTGAATCAGAATAATGAAGATTTCATTTAATGTGTTCATCCAAACCCTACAAAATTAACTTACCGAAAGTGGAACAGGATACAAGAAGGTGCTGTAGTGCAGAAATCGGTGGAAATTTGGAAAAGGAAGGCTTCGCCCTTTGCGTCTGTCGCCTGCGCCGCTACTGTTTGGGAAGAAATTGATGGGGACTGGTCGTTGGGAGAGTGAGAGTTGGGAGACCGGAGACAGGGAAGACGGGGAGTGGAGTGGAGAGTGGATAATGGATTGGTCTTAGGAATTGGACTAATTGACTATGGATTAATGGATTGGAGTGGATAATGGATTGGAGTCATTGGGCTTATGGGCTAGCAGGAAAATTGTTTAATTGATTGATTTAATTAGAATTTGGAACCCCAAACCCAAAAAACTGTTTCAGTAGCAGAAACCATAAAATAAATAAATAAATAAATAAAACAGTGGGATCATTTGACCCCATGTGGGTCGGCCCCTGTTTGTCTTTGTTATATATAAATTTACTGCAACACGTAACTTTTCTACTTTTCTTTTATTTTGTTTTTATTATATTTTTTTGGAAATTGTTTTAAAATTTCTTTTTTCTTCATATTATAAATATTTTTCTAATTTAAAATTCTTTTTAATTCTTTTCGTTTAAAACACAATTTTTCAGTTTTAATTAAATAATATTTATTTTTACTTTTAATTATTTCAATTTAATTTTATAATAACTTTTTTTGTTTCTTTTTATTTTTGCCTATAATTTTTTTGTAGTTTAATTTGTTAAATCATTCAATTTCTTTTCTTTATCAGTTGGAACGGATGAAATGAAGTAGTGTGTGAAAATGGAGAAATAGTGTAGTGGAGGTGACCATGCACGGCGTCTCTTTTACAAATTTGAATATCTCAAATTCCTCATTGACGTCATTGGCTTTTATCTCTTTCCGCCACTAATTTTAACAAATAGTTATATAAAGTAAAATCAAATATCATACAACGTAATGTAAAATATCAAAAAAAGTACTCAAAGCTAGTAAATATCTTAAATGATTCATAGCCATACCGCCCATGCCAAAAAATTCACATACCATATATTGCAATTTCTAACTTAGTAGATTATAATCAAATAGCACATAAACTACAACTCTCAAAAGCTAGATAAAACACAATTTTTTTTCCAATTTCAAGTGTTAATTTTCGATCATAGTCAAGATAACGTTCATTGAATATTTTGAATTTTGATTTGATTGGGTCTTTCTGTCGTATTGACCTTCTAAAAAAAATAAAAAATTATTAGTAGTTTTAAATCATCATGTCCGACCTTTTTTTTTTTACAACACTATCCATGTAGCTTAGAAGTGCTTGTTAAAACAAGTGATGTTGGGTTCACCATTTCCTCAAATTCATTTCAGATCATATGAAACTTTATAAATAAGAATTAAGGATCCAAACCATGCGCAATAGGAATCACGCGCAATAGGGAAAAACCTGTGATTATCCTTGCATTACTATGAATTAACTTCTCCAAATAGTTTTCATTGAAGAAACTTAATGCATATTTCATTCAAGATGAGTAGAAAATTATGCTAAAGTATTGATACTATTGGTAAGGAAGTAAACCTTTGGAAGTACGTGAGAAACAATGTTATCATATAGATGTACCATGAATATATTTATAAATTAACATGAACATTCATAATGGTACTAGTGTTAAAATCAAATTATTGTTCTGACTTCCGAGTTCCAACATCATACACTCTGGTGATTATTGTCCCATGGATAAAGAGTTGCACCAGTATTGACAATTTTTGGATAATATAAATTCTACACATTCCACGTTAATAATAACATATTAAATATAATACTTGTGCAACGCACGAGACCAAGACTAGTATAGCTAAAAATGGAAAAGTTCGTCGACTTCGTGACGTTGTCTACAGTACTTAGATGGGCTTTCGATGTCAGCTACTACATTTTCCTTATTTTGTGTGCCAAAATCATTCAACTAAAGGGCTTTCTATTGGAGGATGAGGTTAGCCCTAATAGCTCACCATGATGTTTGGGATGTGCCGCTATTATTCTCCATATTGCAATTTTGTGATTGGTGGACTTTGAGGTGCTTAAGTCAGCTATGTCATGTGTCGTAAGGAGGTTGGGCGAGATAAAGTGATGAGGTCATGAGAGCCAGATCATTAATTGTGGTGTTTCACAATTACGACGGTATTTACTAAACTGTAGGATAGAAACTTCAGAGCTATTTGTGAGGACGCTGTGGAGGTCTAATTACAAAATTCACTTTAGGGGCATTGCTTAGTGACTAATCCTTTATTAAGAATCCGGGGGTGGGATTGCTTGCGATGACTGTACTGCCTCGAAGTCTCGGAACTCAAAGCGTTAAAAATAATTGATCTTTTTTTGGTTTGACCCCTTTGATGTTAACCAAAATAATTTGAATTAGAAAGTTTTTGGATTTTGAAACATATAAAAATATAATGGGAGGTAGTATTCATATAAACTTATAAAATTATGGTGAAATTTGGTTATGAAAAACATTTGGAGGCAATTCAGCAATTACGGGTTGAACAACAACAGAAGAAAAATATATTTGGCCTAACAAACGTCTATTAAAAATTACGATATTTTTACAGGGACTAAAGAATTTATATATGTACCATCTATAAAAAATTTGTGACTTGATGATAGTATTGGAAGCACGAAAATATTGCTCGAATATGTTGTACAGAAAACTCGGATTCAAAACGACGCAGTTTACCAAAACGGACATAACTTTTTCTCTAGATAGTATTTTATGGAAATTTCAAAGGCTACTATTAGAAGAATCATTCTTTTAAATATAACTAATTTCACTCTGAAATATGCAACGTAGCCCAAATTATACTATTTTCAAATGGAAGACAGAATCTAGATTTATAGTCGGCAGTAAATAAACTTCGGCCATAGTCATTCCAACATTTCCAAATTATGTTTGACATGAAATGCATATAAAACTGAACGAAACATATATTTAAATGTCTTGGTTATTCATAATACGTTTACACGAATTGGAAATTTTACTAGAAAGTTGAAAGCTTTTCAAATCGCCGAGCACTTGCCACTATGCCAATCCGCCGCCATGCCTCAAATCAACCTGTGAGATTATTGTGGGTGTGAGTACTATAAGTAATACTCAGTAGGAAGACACTAGAGTAAATGATAAAATACATATATGTTTTCAGAAATGCAAACTTTGATTATTTGTATTATCGTTAATCTCTTTCTGTTATTGAGTCACCAAACGATGCCTCCTTCATGAGTAACACCATAATAATGTCACCTTCAATTCAAACGAATTGGTGATCAGTCAGTCAGCTTACTTGTAGGTTTTGATAACCCCATTTAATTTATCATAATCATCTCTTTATATCTCGTGTAAATCACCAAACGGTGATTCCATCATGAGTAACGCAATAACAAGTTTAACGCATATGAAAACATATAAATCTTACATCACATACAAAAGCGCCGAAACACCCCTACCTTAATACTTGGAGTTTGAATTCCCTTTTTGCGTTAAATATATTGAACTAAAATGCTATGTACTTTTTTGCCTCTTCTTCAAATAAATTTTCAGATTCAAGGTACTCTAGTTTATGGGAAAATGGGCAAAATAATGTTATGTATATGTATAATAGCTTGGGAGAAAAATGTGGCTAAAGGAATTGAAATTTGGTTTTCAAAATAAGCCTATGACTTTTAAATTCTAATTGGACGGGTTTTCTCTTAAATCTCCATTGAAGTGGTATTGGTAATGCATTTAAAAAAATGGAGTTTTAAAGATATGTAAGTGGGGGTTTTAAAACATGGAGGTTACAATTGAAAGTGGGGAGGTTATAGACTTTACAATTACCTAAATGGTAGTTTCCCTTTTCTTTTGTCTTACTAACATAGTGGCTTCAAATGGGGATGGTTATGGTTTTAATTTCAAATGGAAGTGGTGTTGTAATTTGATTTATTTTTTAAAATGGCAATTTACGGAATCAAAATGGCATGGGGCTAATTAACATTTTTCAAATACTAAATGAAATGGATTGGCAGTTAACACACATAAAAAAAAAAAAGGGTGCTTGGCAGTTAACAAAAGTAGGGTTAAACAACGGTAGTAAACTGTTAATTAGGTACATAAATTTGGCTATAAATGTATAGGTTGGCATTTCAAGAGAACTGTGGCAGTTTACCA